CTGCTGAAGTTGACCCTGCTCCGGCAGGGGGTTGGACTAGATGACCCACAGAGGTCCCTTCCAACCCCTACCATTCTGTGATTCTGTGTGATTCTGTGATTCTGGGATTCTGTGATTCACCGCGCGTGCGACTGCTGCATCCCTTTGGCACGGAAACTGCTTCCTCATCAGACGATTTTACAGCCATCTGCAATTCCTGCCCAGTTTTCCATTCCTATGGATCCTCCAGCATCCGCTTTCCAGTCACCACGTGCTCCCCGGGCAAAGGCAAAGAAGCACGGAGGGATGCGCACGCCGACCTCACACCCATCAGCTCCCCGTAGCCTTCCTCCCGACATCCCTGGACCGAACCAGCTCCTTCTACTCATCCTCCCACTCAAAACGTCTGGAAATCATCCTTCCCTGAATAGGCAAACTGGAGTTAAGAGGAGCAGGATGCCCTCACTGCCAGGACGATGCCTCTGCCCTCTCGACCGAGCTACTCCGGGCTGCCGAGCGCAATCCAGGCTGTTTCGACAGCTTTCTTGTCCGTGGATTAATTGCTCCGTCTTCATCGCAGAGATATAAAAACCCGATTAAGCCGCTTTGGGAACGCTTCCCCGGCCCCGCTGCCGAGATCAAAAGGGAGTTGAACCAGGGCCAAGGAGAGGGAAGGAGGGAGGTGCACGGGGGGGAGGAAGAAATCCCTGGAAAGGGAAGCCGAGCGCTTCACCCCGCGTCGCGGAGAGGAGCTTGCCCAGCCGGAACGGTCCCTCACCTTCTCCACCGCGCCGCAGTTCGACAGCGCACGCGCTCGCCTGTGACTTCAGGAACATGTTGTTAATCCCGGGAATTTTCTTCCCGACAGCGCTGAGGCATCTCAACCCTCCCTGGCTCAAAGCGCTTTGTGGTCGAGCCAGGCAAAGCCTTGCAGATCCTCAGTGCCCGCTTACGGATGACCGGGCAAACATCCCAGCCTGGCTTTCGGTGCTGAATTCACAGAATCACAGAATCACAGAATAGTAGGGGTTGGAAGGGACCTCTGTGGGTCACCCAGTCCAACCCCCTTGCCCAAGCAGGGTCACCCAGAGCAGGGGGCACAGCACCGTGTCCAGGCGGGGCTGGAATATCTCCAGAGAAGGAGACTCCACAGCCTCCCTGGGCAGCCTGGGCCAGGGCTCCGTCACCCTCAGAGGGAAGAAGTTCTTCCTCATGTTCAGACGGAACTTCCTGTGCCTCAGTTTGTGCCCATTGCCCCTTGTCCTGTCACTGGGCACCACTGAAAAGAGCTTGGCCCCATAATTCATTCCTTCTCCGGCTCCGGCTGCACGCTCGGTTGGAGGAGGCACAGGATTGAAGACAGGGAGGGATGCTCCAGCCCTTCGGTTCCTACCGAGTCACACCTTGTGCCAGCTGAGCTGGAAGTGGGGATTTCATCATCACCGCCACAAAATATTTTGATTTTTGAGTCAGGCGCTGTCTCCCTTTCTTTGACAGTGCTCAAGAGATGCAGCCGCTGTGCATTCCTCCAGCC